AGCAGCACTGGCAGCAGCAGTATCATCGGCCGTTGCAGCAGCACTAGCACGAATGGCACCAGCATCCGTGGCAGTGTTGTAGTAGCAGCACCTCCACCAGCACTCGCATCAGGCAAAGTAGCGCCAAATTTAGCATCGGCAGCAGCGCCAGCAGTGGGAATGGCAGTACAAGTCGCATGCGCGCCAGCAGTAAAGGCATCAGCATGAGAAGCGACAGTAGCTGCAAGAGCAGAAGCAGCAGCAAAAGCGGGAGCAACACGAAGCGGCAATAGCAAACTCACAGCTGTAGCAACGGCATGCAGCAGAAGTTCCAGCAGCAGCAGTACGAGCAGAAGGATCAAAGGTAATAGCAGCAGTAGAGCTGGCAGCAGCAGGTAGCAAGAGAAGTAGCAGCAGTACCGACAATGGTAGCAACACATGAGCAGCCTGACCTGGCCAATGATTTAACTGATGGGCGTATTTGCTAAGGTCTTCGCTGTTGTAGCATTAAGATCCGAATCTGGATCGACCGACCGTGTAAGTAGTTACATTCCATGGAGGATTGGTGAACCAAATACCCTGACGATGTACCCAACCAACCCATTCGCAAAGTGTGGGAAACATAGCTGGGTAGACTTTATGGGGGGCAGCGTTGCAAGGCGGTATAGAGTTCTGCGAACGTTACTTCGGAAGCTTGCAAGCTACGCAACTCGCAAGACACCGGTCGATGGACAAGGGCTCGATGGATGTGATTAGTTAGCTCCTTGAGTCGAATGGACGTACCCTGGCCCCGGTCTAATCTGAATCTGCGTAGGGTCCCCACTATGCTGGGCCCCCAGCAACCCTCGAAAGTGGCGACAGTTTCGCAGATCGCAGCCTCCAGGGGTGGCGAGGTCTAATCATCTGATCTGAATCTGGGTATGACCCCACTGTGCTGGCCCCCCCGGCAACCCTCGAATGCGGCGACAACTTTGCAGATCGCATCCCCCCAGGGGTGGAGAGGCCTAGTTCGAGTCTGGGTATGCCCCTACTGTGCTGGCCCCACAGCAGCCCTCGAAAGTGGCGAAAGTTTCGCAGATCGCAGCCCCCCAGGGGTGACGAGGTCTAGTCTGAGTCTGGGTATGACTCCACTATGCTGCCCCCCACAGCAGCCCTCGAAAGCGGCGAAAGTTTCGAGATCGCAGCCCCCCTGGGGTGGCGAGGTCGGAGGCAGGTAATTAGGCGAGAGGTACAAGACACGAGGAACAAGAAGAAGGGAGATAGAGAGAGAGGGAGAGAGAGACAGAGAGTGAGAGAGAGAGAGAGAGACAGAGAGAGAGAGAGACAAGAAGGAGGCGGGAAGGGGGAGGAAGGGACAAGAAGGGAACGATAGCCCAACAACGGAGGGTTGGGAAATAGAAAGTTGGCGATACTACGGTTATCCGCGAAGGAAACGTGGCACCATGGATGCTGTTCACACCCACTCCCGCTGGAACATGTGACCGTAAAACCGATCCAGCAACAAACATACCGAAAGCCAATGCTTCATCGCATAATAGAAACTCAAAACAGCGTTGGTGAATGACCGCTCGGCAACAGATACGGACTGAAGACAAGGCAACATTCAGAGAATAAACTAACGAAATGTTGAAGAAGAAGAAGAAGAATAATACATACCCGTTGGATAAAGCATCCAACAGAGGGCTTGTGCATCGTGCGATCGCCCGTGTTATTCCGGGGCTTTGACCGACAACGTGACATTGTCACTTTCGGATCTTCCACTCTGCACACCAACGACGACCAGTCGGAGGTGAGGGGGTGAGATCGCAGTGAAAAGGAGCCCCCCACCAGAAAATCGATTTCGGTTTCGTGTTCGTGCCGTGCGTGCGGACGAGGCGAAGCGGCGTGGGCGGGCGAGAGGAATGAACCTCCTCTGGCTAAGGCACCGCCCCTCCCCCTGGTTGGCTGGCGGTGGCCAGGGGTGTCCCACCGTGGTGTCCCGATGGTGTCCCGCGGTGTCCCGCGGTCTCCCGTGCTTCCCCGCGGTGGCCCGTAATGTCCCGTGGCGCGGTGTCCCGTGGTGTCCCGTCGTGTCCCGTGAGGTCGCTAGGTCGCTAGTGAGATCGGTAGTGAGATCGATTCTGGGCTTGATAGGGAGATCCATAGCGAGATCAATCGTGAGACCGATAGTTACATCGATAGTGAGATCGATAGTGAGACCGATAGTGATGTCGATAGTGAAATCGACATCGGATCGATGGTGGGATCAATGGTAAGATCGCTAGTAAGGCCGACAGTGAGATCCATAGTGAGAGCAATAGTGGGGCCGACAGTAAGATCGATAGTGAGATCGATAGTAATATCGATAAGAAGATCGATAATGGGATCGATAATGAGATCCACGATGACGACATCGATAGTGAGATCGACGGCGAGATCGATTGTAAGATCGATAGTGAGATCGATAGTGAGATCCATTGTGAAATCGCTCGTGAGATCGAGAGTGAGACCGAAGGTGATATCCGTGGTGAAATCGATCGTGGGGCCGACAGTGCGACCGATAGTTAAAGGGATAGTGAGATCGATGACCGATAGTGAGATGAATGGTGGGATCGTCAGTGAAATCGATAGTGAGATCGATATTGAGATCGATGGTGAGATCGATAATGAGATCGATACTGAGATCGCTAGGGTGAGACGTTGCTTCCTTCCCCCCGAACCTTCTGATCACCCGAAGGGTGGTCGTCTAGGCATGCTTATCTGGGTGGGAGGCAAGACCCGACAACACGATGTATCGCAGGACCCCTCCAAAAAGAACGCTCTCGAGAATCGGAATGGCCGAAATTTCTTCGCGAAGTTGAAGGTCAGTCCCGAGCCTTGAAATATACCCTAACATATCCGACGCCGTCATGTTGCCAATATGCGCCCGGTAACACTGGACCCCTTCCCCGGGACTCGTTGTTCGTCCCAGATGGTGTTCGAGCGCCCCAGAACCCAAAAACTGCCCCTGGAAGCCGAAACAATTGTTGCTAGAGCACCAGTAAATGCTTACAAGCGTGAAACTCAAACCTGGGATATTTCACTCTCGATGTGCTATAGCAGTGATGCGATCTGTGCATGGTGCGAACTGCGCATTGCAACCTGGGCGACGCAACACAGCTGGTGCAAAAGATGTGGTGCAAGCTATGTGACGTGGTGCACGCTGCGAAGTGAAGACACTCGGGTGCAAACGGTAGAACGAAGTCTATATGGTACAACATATGGGGAGGGCAGAATGTGTGGTGCCATCAATATACGGCGTGCGTAACGCACTATATATATATGTACAATAGATGTGTATGTCGTGCAAACTACGTGTTGCAACACATGTTGTGCAAACCATGGCTTGCAAGCCATGTGGTCGGTATGGCGGCTATGTCGCCGTCACCGCCCCGTCGCAGCCTAAATTGCACAACGTAGGTTGCACTGCATTTGCACCACGTGGATTGCACCACATAGATTGCACCACGTAGGTCTCGCAACCAAGATTGCACCATGTAGATTACACAACATAAAGTGCACAGCATAGATCGCACTAGCAGCTTGAACCGCATAGATTGCACCACGTAGATTGCACCACATGCATTGCACTACATATATTGCACCACCTAGATAGCACAGCATATATTGCAACACTTAGATTACACCACGTCGATTGCACCGCAGAGATTGCGTAGCACATGTGTGTATAGATATATAGATTGCACCATTGCACCACATCTAGTGCGTAAAAGATCTTGCACCACATATGTTCTGCAGCATCGGTTTCACTAGGTATATCACCACATAAACTGCACAACGCGAGTTGCCCCACACGAAGTGCACCACATTGGTTGCACCACATGTATTGCACAGCGTTGCACATTAGATCTATATAAATATATACACATACATGGCACAACGTATATTGCACCAAATAGATTGAACCACATCAGCTGCT